AACAGAGACCTAAGTCCAGATATAGCTTCATGACATTTTCTACCAATCATTTTTGTAGAAAAAATATTATTTTTTTTATTAATATTAATATTATTATTTTATATTGGTAGATAGATACGTAATAATAATCCATTTTTTTGAAATGTTACTTATTTAGATTTTAAATTTTAATTTATATATATATATATATATATATATACATGCGTGTGTATGTGTGTATATATATATATATATATATATGTATGTGTGTATATATATATATATATATATATATGTATGTATATATATATATATGTATATGTATGTGTATATGTATATATATATATATATATATGTATATATATATATATGTGTGTGTGTGTGTGTGTGTATATGTGTGTATATATGTAGGTGTGTGTATATAGGTATATGTATGTGTATGTATAGATGTACATGTATGTGTATATATGTATATTTATGTATACGTATATGGATGTATGTATGTGTAGATGGATGGATATATATGTAGATGGATGTATATGTAGATGGATGTATATGTAGATGTGTGTATATATGTGTGTGTATGTTTTGGTATGTATGTACTCATATATATTTGTATATGGGTGTATATGTACGTAGATAAGTATGTATATATAGATAGATACAGGGATACATTGTTTATTTGTTTAAATGGGTGTATGTAATTGTATAGAAATGTAAGGTTTTAGGTATATATGTTTATGTACACGTATGCGTATGTCTGTATGTATATATATGGGTAAATGTGTATATATATATATATGAAGGACTGGATGCGAATGGATGTATGTGTGTATATATGCATGTATGTGTGTGTATGTATTTTTGTATATTGTTGGTTGTCAAATTTTCTCAATTATACAGCGGCCCTTTCGGTAAATGTAGTTCAATTTTACTTTCCTTCACCCCTTCTCTCTCCCCCACCTCGTCTTTCCCTCCCTCTTATTCTGATCTTCAACATTTCTCTTACTTAAACCCCTTCCACTCACCTCTCCTAAAATTCTCTCTGTTAAGGTTTAATCTCCCTCCTTCTCTAGACTCTCTCTAAATTCTGTTTTGATTTCCGGAGTTGATTTTTCTGTTTTCTTTTTGAATTTGTAGGTCTGATGAATTGGATCGTATTTACGATTCCAATGGAATAAATTATGACCATGGAATATTAATGTTTAAGCCTTTTTATTATATATATATATATATATATATATATATATATATATGTATGTGTGTGTGTGTGTGTGTGTGTGTGTGTGCTTGATCACGTGATCATAATCAATCAAACAGATTGCATTTTAAACAGATAACAATCTGAGCCCACTTTTTTGGCATAAACAGAAAGAATTCTCCAACTCCAGTTCCATGGCAGAGCGACACTATTCTCCATCTCAGTTCAACTTTTGAAAATCATAGATTCTTGAAACCGGCAATATTACTGTAAATAAATATTCTGAAAGACAGATGCGTTTAATATGAGTATTAAATATAACATATGATAATTGTAAAAATAAGAAAAATAAGAAAAATAGAAAAACCTTTTTAAAAACAAGAAAATTTATATGGTATAGATAAGATTAAAAAATATATATATAGTATAAACAAGATTAAAGAAAGTGGGGTGAATAATAGTAATAATCGTAGGTCTAATAAAATCACAACAATAATAAAAAAAAATAAAGAGATCAAATAAGCACCATACCGGTGAGATATAAATACATCACACAAATTAATTATAGATTAAATTTAAAAAGGGAAAAATACAAAAATGGCAGATAAAAAAAGGAGCTTGACCAAAAACAATTGGCAATTAAAAAATAAATAAAAGGTAAATAAGAGTATTAGATATACCTAAAATAAAGAATAGAGAAAAAAACCTTAGTAGGAAGCTAATTTAAAAAGCGCGCTAAGGAAAAGAATTAAAGGTATAAGTGTTAAGTGATAATGGATAGTGCAAGAAAACATTTTATGTTAGTTTGAATTTACTTCTATGACGACATTTGGAAACCAATCTATTCCTTTGATTTAGTAAAATACTCTGATTTTCTAATTTAATAATTCTAATTTTCTCTTCTAAACACAAGTTACATCTATCTCGCTATATGTCTCCCAACCTATTCCAGATAACTACACTGAGCCAGATATTAATGTGTATGCTGAAAAAGTTCAAATTGTGGAAAAGATCGTTTACTCGGGTAGTACTGTAAATATTAGAAATACTGTTGATGATAAAATCTCCCTCCGAATGAAGAAAACCAGTAATAATTTTGAAAAATTAGATAAATGTCTATGGTCACAACATGAGCGAGACAATGTTGTAGTTTTACCATATTTGCGTTTCGTCTTCATTGTTGTAAGTATGCCAGACCTAGGTCACTTCCCGGACGAAAAGGCTGGAGCGATATCCCCTGCAGTGTCTCCGTCGTATATTGGGTATCCGGTGGCAAAAGTGCGTGAAGCAGAGATTTGTGTGAAGAAGCTGATCGAGTAGAACTTACATTTGGCCAATGGATTACGAAGGGAATGATGGGGTTTCATTACAATGTGTCTGGTATGACTGGTCCTATACGTGAAGGTTGGAAATCTGATGGCAAATGTATGTGAGTGACTTTGATATCCTCAAACGCAGCCAGTCTACCATTTTAGAGTCTCTGATACTTCAGTAAGAGTTGCGATGCATTATTTGTGTGGTCAGGCTGAAAAACGATAGAACCTCTAAATAGTTTCTATACAGTGAATTGGCTGAAGGAAAAAGACCAGCGCACAAGTCGGAATTAAGATGTAATGATTGCATCAAGAACACCCCGATAAAGGCTAAATGAGTGAGGAAACCTCGATCCAGATGGTCCACCCTGAAGGAAAGCAGTGCAAAATGGTAAGAGAGACTTCGAACAGAATTGTTGCACATGAAAAATTCAAGGGAGATAGTTGTAAGTGTCATGAGATTAATTTCCCTCAAAATGTTGCTAGAAAATGATCTCACTTGCAATGAAAGCGGTCGCGTCTGTTTCAGTAAGGCAGGCCTGAGAAATTATAAACGACACCACACAGAGAAGGCATTTATGACACATTATGCAGATTAAGTAACAAATACTGTAAATGACTTCCATCGTTACCGCATCTACGTAAGACAATGTAAGACCCTAGCAAGTCCACATGCTCACTACACATATTTGAGATTGGATCAAGCAATGACATTGCTCGAAATATATATATGCTTCGATATATATATATATATATATATATATATATATATATATATATGCTTCGTTGAATATAACAGACAAGGAATAATTTGTTTTTCTACTGTACTTCTGTTGTATATTAAGATAAACCAGTTGAGTTTGAAAGCAATCAAAACAAGATGTTACTTAAGAGTAATCAATGTTATAGAGTGAAGAAGAAAACCAATATACTCACTCATTTACACTCTTTTGGTTATTGTAGTCACTTTGATGTGTGGCTAGTATATTCCTTTCTCGTCATGATGTTTTGTTTTATACTTTCGGACAAATTTTTGATTCACTCTTTCTAATCAAATCACAAAATTAAAGTTATCCTGAACGGCCACTCTTCTAGATCCTTTTGTAATAATGAAGGTGTCCCCCCCCCCCAGTGCTCTATCCTTGGACTTTGTTCTTAATTTTCATCAATGAACTCTCTGGTGACATCAGTTTTCAACTTGATATCTGCAACCATTAGATAGTAACTTTGATTCAAACTGGCAGCTGATCTCAAAAATGACCTAGAGTCCGTTGTTAACTGAGGCAAGGAATGGCTTGTTAATTCTAACACCTCCAAAATGAAACTTCTTTCCATCAATCACCTGAAAACTCCTTCCTTCTTCCCATCAACTTGGCTGATACTAACATCCATAAAAATGACATTGCGCTTTCTCGTGCTTATTTTCTCGGCTGACATGAAGTGGAAAGATAATATTGAATCCATTGCTAGGTCTGCTGCTGAGAAAGTTGTGTCGTACTAGACATTTTTTATCTCCTGAATCTATCTTACATATTTATAATTTTACCATTTGTTCATGCTTCGAATATTACTGTTCCATCTAGTCTGGTGTTTCTGCTATGTATTTAAAAATTCTTGATAATATTTAAACTAAAATCAGCAATATTGTTGGTCCTGACCTGGTGTCTCGGCTCCAGCCACTTTCTCACCACCGTAATGTAGCTTCCCTGTGCACTTTTTATAAATACTTCCAGGGTAATTGTTCGGATTAACTCTTCGCTATGGTACCTAGACTTTATGAATTTAAACGCAGTACTGGATTGGCGGCAAGGTCTCATCAATTCTTTTCTTGCACTACTTGTTTGAGGAATTCTCTTTTGGCTTCATCCTTTCCAATCAACTGTGATCTTTAAAAATTCAAATGCAACGTCAATCGTTATCTACTGTCTTCCTGGGTGCTACTTAATAGTTTTTTTTTGTTTGTTTTTGTCTTACTTTTTTTTTTTTTTTTTGCTTTTTTCTTATTCTGAGACACTCTGTAACCCCCTGTGTCTCAGTGGCTTTAGTGCCTTGCATGAGTGAGATGACTTAAAATAGAAATGGTTAAAAAGTACACACACACACACACACACACACACACACACACACAATCATATAGACACACCAGCAATTTTTCAAGTCCCTTTCCTTTCAGAATCTTATTATTCTTGTATCGTTTCTGCATCAATGACTTTTATTAAACTATCAAGCTGTATAGTATCTTTAAATATTGCATTGATAAAAAATAATCTGATATTTTCAAGTTTGGTGAATACTCTAGGCGAAGGAGAATTGCCCCTTGTGTAGTTTATATATATATATATATATATATATATATGTGTGTGTGTGTGTGTGTGTGTGTGTGTGTGTGTGTGTGTGTGTGCGTAAATGAATTATTATTACGTATCTATCCAGGAATAAAAGAAATCATAATTCAATCATACACTTCAGATGCATCTCTTGTATCTCTTTCGTATTAATGTGGTGGCTTACGGCCATATAGCGTTGAAACACCGGTTCCTATACGATCACCGAAGTTAAGCAATTTCGAGCTTGGTCACTGACTTCAGTGACCGCTTCAGAATACCAGGTGCTATAAGCTTCCAAGTGCAGTTGGTGTAATTGGTAGCGGCTCGGAATTGTTAATCAGAAGGCCGAGTTCCAATTTCAGTTAGGTTCGTTTTATTCATTTACACGCAAATATACCATTGGGAAAGGTATGAATCCACTTCTCCTCCAGCTACGGGTTAATTATTAAAATTATCAGTAAACCATTATTATCTCAAAAAGAAATGATTACAATCTAAAATTATTTTCTGGCTTTAAATAACCTACAAATGGTTGATAAACCGTAGAAAACAAATCACTCACACACGACTTATATTGAGCTATCAAACTATATGGCATGGTTCTCTTGTTGCATTGATGTCGAATGATGTTTACACATGACAACAGATAACTCTACTTTGCTAGTGATATTAGAAAATTGGGTGAGGATTTACTCAAATCCGAAGGATTTGCACTAATCACATCAGTGTAAGCAACTATACACACACACACACACACATCTTTTAGTATAATACGCAGATACTATGTTCTGATCCGGTATTTACGCGAGCAAAAAGTCACTTTCAATGTGAGGTACCCATACGTGTACATATTCTCTAAGGTCAAAATTTACCCAGTCTCTGTGACCACTGTTATGTTAGCGATGGTATTCACCAAACCCTTACGTTTTAGCTCAATGAGGGAGGTGCTGTCACAGGATTTAGAATCCCTGGGACTAGGCATTCCTCAAAGATTTTCTGTGCACGGAAACAAAGACAGAAACACGACAGAGAGGTAAAAGACAGGTACTACACTTTGATCCCAACCCGAATGCCAGAGTTTCCAGTACTCTTATCCTAATCTGAAGTATGGATCCATAAACAACCCCATTGTGTTTGACAATTACATTGCTAGTACTTAGAAACAAAAGTGAAAAAGAAATCAGCCAGCTGATGTATATCTCATGTAATGAATGAAGTTGTGTAGCTGTAGTAGCCATAGGATGCAAACAGGATTGAAAGGACTGACAAATGATTGATAAATAATTACATAAAAAAAACTGAAATGGTGTCGAGACACCAAACATCTTTTTTAGCTAATTTGAGGGCCATGAATCTGAAAATGACTTTACTTTTCCTTGGTTAGCTACCGTTTTTGCTATACAGAAATGCTTCATTTTTGGAAAATCATTTGTTTTCTGTATATGATCGATGGTAATAATATTTCTCAAAATAAAATCGTAGAAACTTCTCAATTCATATTTAAACCATCAAATATTGGTCTGCTTATTGCGAAATACTATTTTTACAATAACAATCAAATTCTAAGTCTTTTAAAATAACACGATTGAATATACCAAGACCCTCAAGTATTTTCATCAAATTACTTAATAAATTAACAGCCGAAATAAAACCTTCGTGAACATAAGAACGATGGTAAACATGTTCTCTTTCTTGATTGTCTGTCATATTCAGTGTTATTTAAGTCCCTTTTGATACTCCAGCAGTATCATGTACAATGGAATAGGTGCATTCAATTGGGGTGTATTTAGTTGGAGTTTCTTTCCAAATGTGAAAATGCTCTCAATTTGCTTGGTTTCCTTCCGTAGTGAAGGGATAAGTGTTGGGCTGAATTTATGAACAGAGGATTTGAGAGTTTCATATTTTTTCATGTCCTCTTAATTATCGAGTTTACTAAAGTGTATTACTGATAACGTTTATCAGTTAATTTGAATTTTGGCGAGAAATTGGAAAAATTCGGCATTTCTATTTTTAAATTTTTGACTCAAAAACACTTTTTTCTTATAAAAGTAGTTTATTTCAGGTGTCTGACATAAATTACTAGGTCTGTCTTAAAATAGATGGCTTTCTACGACTTTTATTAACTAAATGTTGCAATCAAAATTGATCAGTACAAGAAAAACAGTAGCTAACCATGAAAAACTAGTTATTTTTAGAATCAGCACCAGTAAATTAGCTAAAAAATGTGTTTTGTTTCTTGGCACCAAAAATCGTGTTGACCAGTGTTATTCTTCTTCTTTATGTGTCGTGTCCCCTCGGGACGTAGACGATCATAGCTCACCGCACCCCACTACCCATGTAGCTCTTAATAAACTTTGTCTCTCGGTTATTTCTCCTAAGCTCTGTTCTGCCATCCATTTAGCTCACTATGTTATGCGTTGTTTTCCTCTGTCCCTCTTGCCCTCTACCTACTCGTGGGCATCAGTTTTTTAAAGCCCTCCTTCCTTATTATCTACCCAACCCAGAAACATCAATTGTCACTTCTTGATGTTAAGTATTAGTTTCCTTTTTTGTTTCTATTTCCTTCAAAACGTCCTCGTTGCTCACATGGTATCCTCAGTATCCTTCTGTAGAACCACATTTCTGTTGCTTCAAGTTTCTTCTTAATCTTTGATGAGATCTTCTAGTACATACTGCCATACAGGAGGACAGATATCAGGCAACAGTTTAGTACTCCCTTCCTCGTTTCTAGCGATTTTTTTTCTATTTCTTAATACTCTGCTCACCTTTTAAAATGCATCTTTGCCTATTCCAATACGCTTTCGGCTTTCAGTGTCACATGCGCTGTTCTCTATTAAAACCCTTCCCAGATATTTAAATTTACGCACTTATTTGATTTTGTTATCTCCGATTTGTAATTTTCACTTTGGACTTATCTTTTTGGTAACAACCATGCATTGTGTTTTCTTGCGGCTGGTGTTCTCCTCGCTTTCCTTCACTACCTTCTTTAGAAGTTTTTGCACCTTTCTTTCTTTGTCTGCTATCAACACTGTGTCTTCTACATACTTTATGTTGTTAAGATTGTGGACAAAAATTATTGAAACCAAAATGTTGGACACGGGTTCTCTGAGTTGAAAACCAGTTTGGGCTTTTTCTTTGGCAACTGCAGCAAGAGTATACCAGAAAATGATACTCAGACAAGAACCCCTACACGAGAAAGGTATCTGACTAAATTGCATCATATCTTATTCCATTTCTGTGCTGGTGCCACTCAACCCACCAGTCAACACACTGTACAGTAAACACGGTATGCGGATTAATAATTGTCAGCCAACAAGAGTAGCATTATTGGTACCATAGTATTGGTTTCTTTTCCCAAACAGCTATTTGTGAAATTGACTCCTCTCAAAAGGATGCTTTCCCGACAACTACAATCTTAACATGTCCAAGCCTAGGGACATATACTCATAAATTGTGCTTCTTACTACTCACACAACAAACTACTTAAATAACCCTCTACCTCAAGTGGCTCTTGGGCCTTGTATAGAGTGAACATTAGCAAAAAATACTTTTTTCGTTTATGAGGCTATATGTTACATCATTTAACATCCCAACTTGTTTTATCTTTCCTTACACCATAAAACTTGAATATTTTACAGCGTCCTCAAATTGAAAATTTGAAAAACAATATTTTCCTTCACTTAATTTCTGTGTATAAATACAAGTTACAAAATAATATCTCCACATTTACCTTGATAGAGTTTCTCAGGGGATCAAAACACGTTGATAAAGAAAAGTTTTCTTTTTGTTGTTTATTTATATTGTTTTCGCAGATATATTTTATTTATATCTGATTTTTTCTACATTTATATTAATATTATTATTATTATTATTATTAATCAATAATTCCAGTTGTAGTTGGAGCCCTCGGATTAATTGAAAATGGCTCCAACAGACTCATTGAAATATTAAACCCCCACCCAACCATAACCGACTTTAAGTTTGTCATAAAAATACACCTGTTTCTTCATTCGTCGATTGGCCAACACCCACTTAATAAAAAATTAAAAATTCTGGATTCTCATTACCCAATCAACTTAAAATATATAATACTGTTCAACTTATAAATAGAGTAAATTTTTTCGAAGGGTATTCTCAACATCGTTTGAAAATGGGACCAAATTCCAAATTTTAATTTTAATTTCAGATTCACTTTTCGGTTTTGAAACAGTAATTTCTTTGTCGCGATGGATATATATTTTTTTTTAAATAATGATAAAATTATGCTCTACTGTGTATTGAGCACTATTTTTTTTAAATTAAATGCTAAAGAACTCTGGATTATAAATCTGACTGTTTTTTCCTATTATATATATATATATATATATATATATATATATATATATATATATATATATATATATAAAACAACCCTAGTTTATATGTATTTAATTTTAAAATCTAGTATTTTTCTTTTTTTTCACTTCTCCTTTTCAATACTTTCAAGTAAAAAAGACACTCAATTTCCTGTACCAAAAAAAAAATGACACAGTGTATATTTTTGAAAAACCAAAAACTCAATAAACTCATTGCTTGAGGACCCCATTTTACAACACATACCTTACCTGAATAACTATTTAATACAACAGATTCCACGAAGATCTCATTATGTTCACTACACCCATACTTCCTCTGCTGATAACCATATCGCTAACCTATCTAAATATACTCTCACCCGAGGAGAAACCTCTGCCCCTCACAACCACAAAACCCTCTAAACCCTTGCTACGATATGGAAAAATACCTTCGTAGACTGAGACTAAAACAATATTTCTCAGACAACAAATCTACTTCTAATACAGACAACAGCACTAACCAATCATACTCCAAACTTCCTCCTACGAAGAATAACACTCTATGGACTCCACCAAGCGGACGTAACCAACACTTGGATCAATATGCCAACAAAGCCAGACAACACATGGATTACTTCTTAAAAAACAAAGGACACCAGTTAAAAAAATACAACTTATCTAAAATAGAACACCAAGCCATCTTAAAAACAACCGAGACATAATTATCGTACCAGCCGACAAGGGCGGAGCTATAACCATCTTAGACACTAACAACTACATTAAAGAAGCAGAATCACAACTTCAAAATAACAGATTCTATGTACCCTTACCTCTAGACCCAACTAGCACATTCAAAACAGAATTATCACTTCTCACTCAGAACCTGAACCACAACATAAAAAATACCATAAAATCTCTTATTCCTGAGAACCCTAAAACAGCAACATTCCCAAAAC